ACTGCTCTGAGTACCACGATCTATCAGCAATGATATTAATAGAAATGAATGTCTCAATAGTGGCTGATTGACAGTTCTTCTGCCAAACAACACTAAGCAAAATCGTTCCAAGACTGAAGCAGTTCTTTTTCACATGGCTCAGATCTGCCAACTTCAAAGCCACTTCATATCAAATCCAATGAAAATACGGTACAGAAAACATTGAACGTGATATGATCAAACAACTAGAAATAGAGGAGGCATATAACAATAGCACTTAGACTTATATACCATTTCACAGCGCTTTACAGCCCACTGTAAGTGGTTTATAGAGTCAGCATATTGCCCAACAATCTAGGACTTCATTTTACTGACCTCGGAAGGATGGAAGGCTGAGTCAACCTTGAGCCAGTGAGGATTGAACTACTGGCAGCCAGAAGAATGAATCTGCAATACTGCATTCTAACCACTACTCCACCACACCTCATCCAATTCAGGATCATGATTATAATCTTATCTCTGTATATGTATGCGTACACATACAAACAAGATGCTTTATGATCTCCATATAATTATTTCCATATAATTGTTGAAAACATGTGAAACCTATTCCAACAAGTCCCATGTCAAGCCAACTGATGAGAAAATCCCCCTCAAGATTACACAACATTTAACAATGTTTCATACGCATACATATATAAATGTAAATGCCTCTCTGCTTACCAGGACAACTGTGACCTGGATGATTGAGAATCTTCATAGTCATCTACTTATGAAAAAGAACATTGAACATTGAGTCAATTGAATAAAACCTAAACTAACATGAGAAGAAATGAATAGGTGCATTTATGTTAATTGAATACGGAAGCTTCCTTTGACATGCCACTCTTAGTTGGTTGAACCCATGCTGTACAAACACACAGACACACTATTCTTCATCTCTCCTATTCCACATCCAGCAAATATAAAAGCTTAAAGCTTTTGTAAAGCTGTACATTTCATTACTCTCCCTGTCATTCTCCAGTTCAATTGACATTCTTATCGTTTGTACAATTAAGATGCCTCAGCATGAGAAGATAGTTTTAATATTTACTTTACCCAATCCCCTCCACTGGAAAGAAAATGCTAGGTTGCATTGATCAAATCCCCATTTTTAAAGCAGAGAATTCTTGGGTGCCCACAGAAAGCAATGAACAGGCACACATGCAGATACTGTACAGAACTTTTATCAGCAATTTTAAAGAATCCAATACCATTATTATTTGGCCGTGCTTCTATTAGCATTTTAAAAAAATGAAGTGGGTGGAAAATTACCATAAAGTTTAAATGGATAGCTAAGAAATCCTTGCAACACATTCTGCTGTGCTAGGGAAATGAACCATAAGGTTGGAATATATGCTAGTCTAAAATTCTTCTCCACAATTAAAAATAACCTAGAATGACCATTGGGTGCAATTCCCTATAGGGATCACAAAGAAATCATGCTCGAAGCACAGTTTGTTGTAGATAATGGATGTGCATCTTTTGTATTCCAGGGCAGGTGATTTATTAAATATATACATAAATAAATACATAGCTAATTGATGTGGTTAATGATAAAGCAAGAGATTATCTAGAACGCAAACATTGTAACATACAAGATTGTAATATATCAGATCAGACCATTAAATCATACAGACCAATGTGGGTTAGACCAGGAATGAAGCCAACCTTGTGGTATCAGAGGATCCTTTGTCTATGCATATGGTTACCTGAAGAGCTGTTTGCTATGCAATCCCAGAATGAAAAAAAAAGCTCATTCTTGAATGCTATTATTAAATGGACAATTTAGATAATGACCTGGGCTTCATCATTAGTTCATTGGGGCATCCTGTCTTCTGCTGTAGTTGGACCCAGCCTGGGAAATCTGAACATACAGTAGCAGCCATGCTATTTTTACAGGACAATTAGAGCACATCAATGAAGGAAAATATATGTGTCCTGAGATAACATTGTGAGATCTGATTTGGGTCGGTCACTGGGACCTGAGGATTACTCTTTAGTCTTTTTAATCTTTAGTTACTGCAGACCACAATTTATGGAACGCCCTGGACCTCATTCTATCTGCTGGAACATGAAGTGCCGTCTGTTATTGTGTTCTAAGAAAGACAAATTCTTATCTAATTTTCCATATCTATCTCCGCTTAAGTTATTGCTCCATGAACACAGATATCCTGGTGAATGAGTTTTTGGAACATAGAACCAGAAGATTCTCTGGAAAAAGAATGTGGAAGCCACTGGTCTGCTTTGAAACTCTTAAATAAGTCTTTCCTAACGTTTCTGTGAACTGGAAATGTCAATGATTAAAACAGAGACCTTTTGCATTCCCCCAAGCTATGGTCTATTGAGCTGTGAAAATTATGTAAAGGGATGCCCTCTAGACATATTTGTCCACAACTTCCATAATTCCTAGAGAAGACAGCAAAAAATATCTACAGGCAAAAGCCAAAATGTGGAGATATTTGCTGGAGTCAAATTAAATGAGTCTTCACATACTTTCATCTACATTGCTTAAGAATCCTATTGATCAAATCAGTTGACTTAAAAAACTGCAAAGGGAAAATAATATTCATGTATGAAAGGTCTTCAAGTCCTTATGGTTTTTCTGCTTCTTCTTTAGGTCTCCTTTCACCTGGTTTGGTTGAAATGTACTAATTTATACTGACTGAAATCGCACACGAGAACTTTTCACTCATCTGAACAGACCGATATCTCATTAAAGGTTCTCACAACCAGTTTGTGCACTTCACCTAAAAATTCTCTTTGATACCATCATGCTTTTGCTATTGCTTAAATTGATTGCTAGGGGCTGACATAATATTAAACGTGGTTTCTTTACTACTAGCCAATAGGTAGAAAAATAGATTTTCTAAGTGTCAGAATGCTCCAGAAAGCCATTTTACAATCTAGAAAAAGAACAGTGTGCCACCCACGCTAGTTTTTACAAAGACAGGGGTGGCTCATGATCAAGCCAAGTGAATATGAACACAAGAAAGGCTTGGTGAGCATGTTGCTTTAATGCCAAAAAACAAACAAACCCAAGAACATTTCAACCAAAAAGAAAAAAGAAGAGGAAAAACTGCTAAGATCATTGGGGGTGGGGGAATTCCATGAAAAGCAAACATAGAATAGGATGTCAGGAGAAAAAAATAATCCAAAATTAATATGAAGACAATGACTGTTTGAGGTCAATTCAGGTTCATAAACAAAACAAAAACTTCAATCTTCTGTCAAAAAGGACCAGAAAAAAATGGAAGAGGTCAGATGGTTCCCCCTTACCACCATCATCTTTGCAGTATTTGTCCATCCAATGCCATGCATCACCTCACAGATTTCAAGCTTAATATCCTTTTTAGCGCATAAAACTACCAACCGCTTTTCTTATCCATCCTTTCTCTCTCTTCTAGAACTTCAGATTAGAGGTTTTTTTTAATTTTGGAATATAGTGTACTCATGGACTTTAATTGGTCAGTTATCCTAGGAGCTTGATGGCCTGTGGATAAGTGAGATAGACAAATATTCTTCACACAGCAAATGAAAACACAGCACAGCATTGAATGTATTGAACCTTAAGGGGAGAAAGCAAAAGTTAAAAAAGGAAACAAAAGCTAAAATGGAAACTGTGACTTAAGTAAGACACAGGGACATGAAAGGTGTTCTGATCTTGTAATATACATTTTTTTAAAAAATTAAACCACCCAGAGTCACTTAGGTGAGATGGGTAGTGTAGAAATGTGATCAATCGATAAATAAAAGTTTAAAAATTCACATCCCTTTTTCATGATCATCTATACCAGTGCCAGAATAAAACTTAGCCTTATTCAGACATGCTGAATGTGCTTTGTTGAATTGGGGCTCTTTGGATGAATGTGTTGACAATAAAACTGAGGTCAGTCACTTGTGAAATCTATTTATGCCCACAGGGAAGGGGCATGTGTTTGACTGTCCAGCTTGCCCAAGCTTGTTTGCGGAAAGGTCTTTGTGCTACAGAGGCAAGCAAATGATCCTTCTGATGTACGAAATGTTACAGGAACGATTAGGGCTATTTTTACCAACTCTGCCCAATTTGGGCAGTGAATTTTCTCCCTCCAATGCCTACCCTACACTAGAACTACTAGCAGCTGTCTATTGCTCAATAATAGTTCAGGATAGAGCCCTTGAATCAACTGCAACCCAGGATTACTCTTCGGCTTTCGTTCTGGAAGTCGCTCAATATATGGATAGATTTTTCCTAAACTTGCAAGTTGCTTAGGTTTGGCTGAACTAGACCAGGTCATTACTTTGTTGAAAGGAGGCAGACTGAGCCCAAAGAAGATACCTGCTCAAGTCCCTCACCTTTTCCCTCACTATAGTGCCCCCAGGTGGGGAGGCTGGTTCTGACTATACCTTGGTAGGATCAAGAATTCTATGTGCTTAATATTTTGAACCACAGTAGATACTTTTCTTTCTTGTAACCAGGGCTTCCCTTCATATTATAGGAGTGTGAAGACACCAGTTGGTTTGGCAGCCCAGCCCAGAAAAAGGGGTTAGTCCATGGAGTCCAAAAAGGTAAATGTATCTCGTGCAAAACAATATGAATTCCTTCCACATATATAATTCATTGATACAAGACCTGGTTATGATTTCTAGATCTGTGATCTAAAAGGTATTAGATACATTTAATAGGATAGCTCTAGATGCAACTTCTTCAAGTTCAGAAGCATTGCACCTCAGAATAGTCTATACACTCTGTGGTAATAAATATACTTCTTTATGTATGTTTATATTCACAAATATTCATTTTAGAGAGGTAGAATTTAAAATGGATGCTATAGAATTTTTAGCAGAATCTTATGATTTGACTTTCATTCATATATGGTAAAGATAGCCTACAAATCCTCAATAATATGTACAACATCCATTCTGGGTGTTATTTTTTTCTCCTTGTTTAATTCAGCTCACATGAAACCCAATATTTTCTCCTTTTTCTCCTTTTTATCTTAAGGGGAAGAAAACTTTAGATTTTGTTTATGGCATTAAACATCTTGGAATAATTATATTAAGGCTTCTAGAAGCATTCAGGAAGGAACCTGTAAATCTTATCTAGAGCTGACTTCTATGGATATAAAATTAGGATTTCCAGTGTGAAATGTCTGCTTTATTGGTCCTGATCTGAAATCATGTACCCTGACAAATGAAAATTCATTGAATCTAAGCATGAACCTGGTGCTTTTGTTCCATTAGAATGAGATAAAATTTCCCCATTAAACCATTAAGCTTTTTTTTAATGAATGTATGAAAGCATTTGTTGGTCCATACTCCCACCACAAGGAATAAAAGACATAGATTCTTGATTAGAATTTGTTACAGAATTACTCTTCAGGGACTTGGTAACTCTTCATTTTCTACTAGATAATCTTTCTTTGCATAATTAGCCCCCCTAATTAACCTCCATATTCCAAGATAGGCATTCTTGAGTGAGTTTCTGTTAAGTTCTTCGGCATTACCATCTACAGGAACAACAGTAGTATTTCTTTCTTCTCCAGTGCTGCCCATCTCTTCTGTGCTGTGCTGTTTGTTTTCATCTGCTGACTCGTTCATTATTGGATCTCCAGATTCTGCCTCCTTGGGCATCTCCTCCATTGAAAAGGGTGGTTGACCTCCGTCACAGTCTTTCTTCTCTTCTTCTCTAAGTTCCTCTTCCAGATCTTCATAATTACTCTGTTTCCTTGTCTCAATAAACTTGACCACACAATACGTGATGGAGCCTACAGTGTTTACTACCACGCCTACTATGAACAGCTTTGTGGGTTCCACATCATTGAACGCTACCATACCAACTGTGATGGTTGCAATGCTCTTCACAACACCAACAAAACTAGTGGTTACAGCTGAGTTAATGTAAGTGCAATGAAGGGTTGTAAAATTCATGGCGCAGCCCAATAAGACACAGGCAAAAAAGATGAATGTCATGAGGGGATCTTTCCATCCTGGGAACGACCAGATATTAATGGCTTCCATGCTGACAAAGGCCAATAGGATGAGAAAAGGTGTGGCTGAAACTGCAATGGCATATTGGGCTGTCAGAGGCCCATAATCGCTATCTGCACTCATCTTTTGAATCACCACCAAATATCCTGCATGTACCAACACAGCCAGAACTCCAGTCACATACCCAATGGGATCACCAGTCAGGTCACCCGCACCTGCCAATTTTGAAAGAAAGAGAGAGAAAATTAAATACACTTTAAATATATTTTGTCATTGTTATATGAACTACATCAGTAGAAGATAGGCTTTAATGAGGTATTAGCTACAAGCGTTTTAGGATACATGGAATAAACTGCTAAGAACTATCAATTTACTTGGGAACTGCTTGGGAATAATTCCCTCAACACTGTCCAACTATTTACGAAGTTTGCACTATTATTACTATTAATCTTCTCATCACTCCTTATCACCCATCCCCTTCTACTTGTGACTGTATGCTTCATCACTTGTATCCTTACGATTTATATTGACTGTTTCCTAGTAGGATTTGATTGTTGATTGTATCCTATGACTATTATTACGTGTTGTACCTTATGATTCTTGATTAATGCATCTTTTCTTTTATGTATACTGAGAATATTTGCACCAAGACAAATTCCTTGTGTGTCTAACCACACTTGGCCAATACAGAATTCTATTCTATTCTATTCTATTCTATTCTATTCTATTCTATTCTATTCTATTCTATTCTATTCTATTCTATTCTGTTTTTGCACACTTATTAAGTGTTGTACCTGATGATTCTTGATTCTTGGTGAATGTATCTTTTCTTTTATGTATACTGAGAGCATTAGCACCAAGACAAATTCCTTGTGTATCCAATTTTATTCTATTCTATTCTATTCTATTCTATTCTATTCTATTCTATTCTATTCTATTCTAT